GAGGGAAAGGAAGGAAAAAGGAAGGAAGGAGGGAGAGAGGGAGGGAAAGAAAAAAGTTTCTGAGTTGCTTCTTTAACTTCTTTTTCTCTTTTCGTTTTTCTTTTTTTGAGACAGAGTCTTGCTCTGTCACCAGGTGCCAGGCTGGAGTGCAGTGGTGCAATCTCGGCTCACTACAATCTCCAGCTCCTGGATTCAAGCAATTCTCCTCCCTCAGCCTCCTGAGTAGCTGGGACTACAGGCACGCGCCACCATGCCCAGCTAATTTTTTTGTATTTTTCAGTAGACACAGGGTTTCATCATGTTGGCCAGGATGGTCTCGATCTCTTGACCTCATGATCCATGATCTGCCCGCCTTGGCCTCCCAAAGTGCTGGGATTACAGGGGTGAGCCACCACGCCCGGCCTGCTTCTTTAACTTCTTTAAGAAATTAGTGCGGAATTAGAATCCACCTACATTGCTGAAACTTCCGTTTGCATTATATACTTAATTGCATTAAATTCGCTTGAGGTCTGCTCTTCACATTTTAGCAATGTTACCTTAATTTGTTATATTTATTTTTTAAAGTCTATAACCTATTGGTACACAAGAATAAGTGCCTTCATTAATTTAAGCTATATTGTCAAATATTATTTCTGGTCTTAGAATCTAAAATTTAAAGATTTTCTACAAAATCCAAGGTTTAGTGTGTATGTTTTTTATTAAAAATATTATGTTTTTTAAAAGACATCAGAAAGGTCGACTCAGCAGTGGTAAGATTTACAGGCATAATTTCACAGGCCAAAGAATTCCCACAAATATTTTTAATGAGGTGCCAGCATCTAATGGGTTTTATTAGCACTAATTTGCAAATCTAATTTACAATGGTTAGAATACTAAGGGACTTTATCAAATTAGGATATTAAAACTTTAGATGATCAATTGATATTTCTATTTAATTTGCTAAGTTATTTACTAACTGGTCATATATTGGATAAACTTACCTATACAGGGATTAAATATGAACTGCATATGATGTTGTTTTACTTATTATGAAAATATTATACTCCACTATTAACATAAAAAATTAGAATCATAATCATTAATCATTATTTAAGAGAGTTCCAAACTTTGCTGTATTTTAATTTAACCATGAGATGCGATATTTTGGAGTTTGAAAGCAGTTATTCAGTAAGTTACAGAATGGCCGAATTATATTAGGAAAGTCTAAACATGGGTGATCAAGTGTTTCTGAATGATCCACCCTGCAAAATTCCAACATTACCTTTGTCTTTTTTTCTCCTATATACCTGCTAACACTCACTTCCAAAGTGTATCTATTTCAACTGACACCTGCACTTGGACCTAATAGTAGACAAGGTCTTTGCCACTATTTGGTCTATTACCAAGGTGGTTACATGGAGCCACCAGCCTTCTCTACTGTACTACCCTTCCCAAGGGGCCATCTTCATGCACCTTATGACTGATTCTGCAGAGAGAATAGAGCTATCCTTTCTTGACTTGGTATGCTTTTTGCATTTACAAATATAAATTTCTATTATCTGCATGCAGCCCTACCTTCCTTATACCAGAATTATATGAAAGTTTTTCCTCTTTGAAACAAATTTATCCTATTTTGTTCTTGATCCTAATTTCCTCAGCTTATCTGGAATCTGAACTTGTCATAAAAATTATTGTCTCTTTCCAAACGTTCTTTAAGTTTTTCATTATACTTGTCCCTTCAATGTAGGCTATTGCATATACTCAAGTCTTTGAAAGAATTGCAAAACCTAAACATTGCTAGACCAATACTTCCTACTCTTACAATTCTAATTTTCACCTTTGTTTAACTTTCTTTCTTGCAAATCCCTTTGGCCTCATGTTCTCAAGTTACTAATTGTTATGTCCAATTCCTCAATTGTCATTTATTTTAACTTTACAGACACTCATACAATGCATACTATATGCTCAGCACTATTCTAAGCATGATGGTTATTTGTATTATATAGGTGTATATTTTAACTCAGTCTATCTGTTTTTTTTAATTACCCACCTTCTGAAGCCTGTTTCTGTCAATTCATCAGATTTATTCTCTATCCATCTTTGATCCCTAGCTGGTGAGGAATTGTGATCTTTTGGAGGAGGAGAGACCTAGTTTTTGCTGTTTTCATCCTTTTTGCACTGGTTTCTTCCCATCTTAGTGGCTTTACTACCTGTGGTCTTTGTAGTTGCTGACTGTCTAATGATGTCTCTGAGAGGACATCCTTTTTGTTGATAATGAAGTTATTTCTTTTTATTTCTTAGTTTTCCTTCTAACAGTCAGGGCCCTCTGCTGCAAAACTGCTGCAGGTCCACTCCAGACCCTGCTTGCCTGGGGATCACCTATGGCAGCTACAGAACAGTAAGGGTTGCTTTTGGTTTCTTCTTCTGTTATCTTCATCACAGAAGGGTACCTGCCAGATGTCAGCCTGAGCTCTCCTTTATGAGGTGTCTCTTTGGATATACAAGGGTTAGGGAGTTGCTTGAGGAGACAGTCTGTCCCTTATAGGAGCTCAGGTGCTGTGCTGGGAGCTCCATTGTTCCCTGCAGAGATGCTGGGCAGGTACTTTTAAGTCTGCTACAGCAGAACTCATAACTGCCTCTTTTCCCAGGTGCTCTGACCTAGGAAGGTTGGCTTTATTTATAAGTTTCTGTCATGCTGCTGCCTTTTTTCATAGATGCCCTGCCCCACATGGACCATCCTGGGTCCAGCTGCACTTGCTGCGAAACTCTCAATCCAGAGCATTTCAGATTGCTTGTTTTGTGGGGGTTGTACCCACCAAGCCAGATCCCCTGGATCCCTGTCTCAGCCCTCTCCCTTTCAGCTGAATGCGCCATTCTGTCTCCCAGGCATTCCAGGTGCTAGTTGAAACAGCTGCCCAGACTGTGTGAGCTTCTGTGTGCCAAGCTGCCACCAGCTGAAACCACCATGCTGAAAACTCGGGGTGCTTTTGGGCCTGGGAATCTACTGGTCTGTGGGCAGTGAAAATTTGTTTGGAAATGTGGTGGGCACTCACCCTCTGCATTGTTCTTGCTGGGAACTGTACTCTGGAGCTGTTCTTACTTGGCCATCCTGGATCCTCTCCCCTCTTCCCCTCATTTTCTTACTCTGCTTGGGTTCTTGCTGCAATATTCTACAGCTTTTTATTTTTACATCTTTTCAGCACCATGGATACTTCATGTCCTTGTGGTCTTAGTCAAAATGATCACATATGTTCAACTGCAGAGGACAGGCAGAGATTGAGAATGCGGCATGCTGTGTTCTCCCCGTTCCCAGGCATTGCCTTAGGGCCAGCTGGATTTGTGGCCATATACTTACATAATTCTGATTTACTTTTTCTTGTGGGAAATTATGCGAGTTCAGGAGCTCTACATTCTTTTACTGAAATAATTATTATCAAATCCCTGAAAGCACTTACATAATTCAATGGAAGTAAAACATTCATTGCAGAGCTAGTAAGATGTCCACCACTAAATTTTTTTAAGTGAGGTTTAATTTTTATCTTAATATGCTTCTTCTTCTGTAAAGGGAAATGACATTTATATTTAGAATCACGAAGCAAGAAACTATTCCCAATACTTATATGCTAAGCTGGAAAAGAACTAGAAATATATGCTTTGTCTGTTTTCTCAGGTATATCATTGCAGTTAGACTTCTGATAGTTTTTTTTAATGTTATCATTACGGTTGAGAGTCTGCTCAATGTGTTGAATTTCTTTAGAAGACCAGCTCCCGTCTGCAAGGAAATTATATTGTGTCATGGCTGAGCATGCAGAAATTATTTTTCAGAAAAGGGAGGAAGGCAGGGTAGGGGAAGAGAGAGAGCTATAAAAAGTAAAGAATACAAATCTCCAGTATCAAAACAAGGACAGGAATAGCTTGTGGACATCCCACTAGAACACAATGTCCTACTGATAATTTTTATGAACTCACTTAGTTCACCTTGCTGAATCAGTCGTATTAGTTACTACCCAGCCCTTTCTTAGTTTTATATTACTTTTCTAAAATATGTATTTTATCATCTGAAAGACTTAAACACTTCAATATCCCATGTTTCAAAAGATGTTATTTACTTAAAATTATTTTAAATCCTTGTGACAGCTGAATACATTTTTCTTCAACTGAAAGTGTAAACAGTAAATAGATAAAAATGGCAAAACATTGACATTATTAAATTATATCATTTTTCCTTTTCATTTATTTGTTAATTTCTATCCTAGAGAAACAAAACAAATAAACAAAAAAAAATGGCTCTCACAAATTATATCCCAATCCCTTTTCTTTTTCATTCTTGAAAATCTTTGAGTCCCACTTCTGTATCCTTTCTAAATATGGAATTTCCTTTTTCTTCCTGGACTTTCAGATTGACGTGTTAGCATTTAAGAGTGATATCACTAAGACTGTACAATGTAAGTGAAGGCTTAGGTGAAATCAAACTGGTAGGTCATTTGACATCTAAAATAGAGATGCCAAATATGTAGCTTAGTAAACTTTGCTATTCTCTGGCAATACTACCTCTGTGTGTTTGCATTTCTTCTAACAAAGTGGCTCCTTTTTAATCTACTGCAAATTTCCTAGAGGGCGACAAGCCCCACTTCTGACTAATAACTTTACTACTGTCTTTATGATACATTCAAAAGTTCAAGTAATCGGTTTATACATGCAAGAAGATTATGTTTTCATCTGACAACTGATTACAGAAAGAGCCAAATTACAAAGTTATGCATAATAATCTACAAAATGTATATCATGAATTTGTGTATTTAACAATATCCTTAGGGTTATTTGTGCAAGATTCCACCTGAGAATACTTTCTTTATAGGAGTAATAGATTTTCTATGAGCACATATATGCTAAAGCTACAATAAAATTACTTTTATCTTGACTTATTATGTCCACAAAAAATGATATTTCTATCTGCTTAATTACTAATACTGTTGGCATCTTATATTAATTAATAATCATTTTTATTTTTCTTACTTTAGATGATGCTTCGGCTACATGACTGACCCTTCGAAATTTAAAAGTGGAATACAAAACATAAAGACTGCATTTTCTGATTGTCACCCTGGCTCTGTTATTCTCTGTTCTATGGCATTGCTAGCCTCCCAGCTTAACTATTTGTAGATTATAAGTGTCAAGTAATATTCTTCTTCTATGCAAATATTTTCCTCATTTTAGATAACCTAAGCATTTAAAGTTATAATCCATCATTGAGACTTTTCTATCTGTATGTTTAATGATTTATATTGTTGTCTCAATAATTAGCTTTATTGTTATGATTTTTATCATTTTCTAGCCTATATTATGTAGAGTACCATGGTTCTTTCATTTTTAAATTATTACAGCCTTTTTATCAGATTGGAAATGCAAATGCCCTATAGAATGTCATATGACATATCATGTTTATACAAGATTTGAATAATTTTAGACCTGTTTATATTTTGCTTTATAAGAAGAACACACTTGAATGTGTTTGGTTGCATTTATGTATAACGTTTAACCAATGAGTAACTGTGGCTTTCATTCCTCTACCTTCCTATTGGATAGCAGGATACTGAGCTCAGCCACCACAGAGCTGATTCTGGAAGTTATGTCCATCTGTACTGTCAAATATGAACATAAAGCTCATCATATGCTTATAAAATTATCCTATTAAGAACCATAAAAATATTTATAAGCAAGACCTAAAAAATGAGTTGCATGCTAAGAATTAAGCCTGGTAACCAAGTGATCTTTGCCGTGCATTTGATCCCCGCAATAGGTAGGAGGTGGCCTGCAGCAATATATCTCAACATGTAACAATGCACTTGGCAGCAGATGTTTAAAGACAGCCAGACTTAGTTACTTCTTTCGTATGCTGTCCACTGCACTCGGTAGGTTTCATGGGGTGGTATTATCGCTACTATGTCAATGAGAAAATAAAGGTTCCTAGATGTTCTGGAACTTGTTCAGTTTCAGATGATTGGAACATTGTGGTCTTGGCTTTCAAGTACGTGTCTACCAGATTCCACAGACCCTTTTCTGTCCACTTTGTCACCTACAACTCTGAGCTCCAATATAAAGACTTCACCATATTTGAAAGAGTATAGTGGAAAGTCTGATGCTCAATTCACATTCAAAAGAGTTGCCTCTGTGACAGTATAACTGCTGAAATAAAGAAATCTCCTTTTGAGTCAGGGTGTTATTTAATTATTGCAAATCTCCTGTCATAGATCCGATACTTAAGATAAAAAATTAGGCTCAGGTCCTTACCTATGGTCTTGCTCTTTACAGTACTTTTAAACCTATATAATTTACATTCAACATTTACACATACAAAATTCATATAGTCTTTCAAAACTAAGATTGCATAATAATCTTATGGCTTGAAATTTTAAGTATTACAATATAAACAGCAGAGACTTCATGTTTATGATAATTTTTAATAAATGGCATCAACCTTTGCATTATTATTCCATGGTGTTTTGTATTAATTTACATCACATTTATTTTTATTTTTGAAATTTTACATTGCATGTCATTTTTATATGTAATTGGTTTAAAGTAAGGTTTAAAATAAGATTTTTTAAATAGAACTTAGCAGAAAATATTAATCACATTCAGTTTAAAATCAATTTATATGCTTTTTTCAGAAAAAAATTCTGAAAATCAATGTATTTTTTCCAACAGAGAAATTTTTGTTATTGATAGAAAGTATAAATAACTTTAATATTTAAAGCATTTTTAACATTTTTTTTTTAAAAAACATAAGCCAGTGATTGGCTTGCTTATTTCAAATCTGACCAGTGATCTACTTACTTCAGTAGTATGATAGTTAAATACAAACCAACATTCTTTGGCACTGGCCAGACACAAATCCTCTCTTGTCTTCCCTATGGCAAAGAGTAACTTATTATTTTCAATGCTAATGTGAAGTCCTTGTTAATGTCATCAACACACACACACATAAACACACCACGAAAACACAGAAAACATCAATAACAAAAAACCCTATATGTTTGAAAAACTTGTTTTTTAAGCCACTATTTTATACTCACTTCCGCTTGGAAATGTCAAAATGTGTTGTGGTTAAGTTGTTTGTAAACTAGAACCAAGGGTTTCATCTAGCTTCTTGTAAGCAGCACAGTGTTATTTTTAGCACTCTTTCTGGTATTGTTAATCAAGACATTCTTAACTTCATTTTTCTTCCTCCATCAAATAAAAAAAGAAAATGTGAGGGATGGTGTTATATTTGCACTACATGAAACTATTCTAAAGGAAATATCTCCAAAAAACAAACCTTACAGAATCACAGTCTTTGTGTTCATCAACTCTAAATGATACTAATAAAAACACTAAAGATTATTCCAATACTATCTTAATTGTATCAATAATCTCTACTAAATTTAGAACCTACAGTAAGCATAGATTTGAGAGTTCACACTTGGTATATTACTTACAAGATGTGTGACTTTGGGGAGGGTGTTACATTTAGCATCTGCTTCATTATCTACTGTGTGAATATCACATCTACATCAAATTATTTTGATAGTGAAATGGATAAAATATATAATATTTAGCATAATTGCTAGGGCATTATATTAACTCAAAACACTTTTCTTTGTCATTGATTATTCTGAAGACAAAAACTTGTCTTACATCTCAGTCAAAAGCTGGTAAAGATATTTGATTGTTTTACGGGATTATGATGAATAATGTTCTTAAAGGTTTTTACTTTAAAATTAGGCCATACAAATGTATTTTAAAGTATCCATAATCTCTTACTGAATTTAATTCCATATTTATAAAACAGTATTTTAATTTTAAAATCAACTACCTATGACTATTTAGCTAAATAATTGACTCATTCATGTAGATTTAATTTTTAATTCTACAGATGGAAGAATTCATACAGAGATATACATAAAATATAATAGAAGGCTTACTTACATTACATATATCTGAAAGATATGTAAGACTTCTGTATCTACAATAGAATCAACATTGTTGATATAAGACATTAAGGAAGTAATATCTAATTAACATATGTATTTTGTCCTCAGCTACTATGTGACCTATTAGGGCTTTTCACAGAAGAAAACCTACATGTATAAAAGAAAAGGATTTGAGTTTGCCAGGCTCATTCTTGCTGAATCAGCCTACTGTGTGTAATGCCAATTTCTGCTGGTTTTTTTTTCTCCCTAAGGAAAAATATTGCTGAATAAAATGTCAATAATATTTAAAGGGAAATAACAGCCTTAACCCAAGTTTGGAAACTGTGATTAAGAAAGTTTTTTGTCACAAAATTAAATAAATAACAAGTAGAAAAAAGTAATGTGAAGTTTAAATAAATGCGCTGAAATTTCAAAATATATCTTAAGCCAAAGAGTTCATTATGAAATTACTATATGCTAGAAATACAAAAATAAGTGAAACTGTTCCTTGCAGAGAAAATGTTTAGGAAAACTACACAATGAAAATGATAACTGGTTAGTCTTTTTTGGAACGAGGAGGTGTCACAGCAAGTTTGTGCTACCATAACAGAACACTATCAGACTGAATAATTTATAAAATAAAGAAATGTATGCCTCACAGTTCTAGAGGCTGGGAAGTTCAAGATCAAGGCACTGGCTAGTGAGGATCTGGTCTTTCTGTTTCCAAGATAAAACCTCATCCTCTGGAGGTGAACAGCCTTGTTTCCTCACATGGGAGAAGGTGGAAGGATGAGAGGGTCAAAATCTCTTGCCAAATACTTTTCTTTTTTTCTTTTTTTTTTTTTTTACTTATATCAAAAGTATCCTATTTTTATTTTTATTTATTTATTTTTTCTATTATACTTTAAGTTCTGGAGTACATGTGCAGAATGCAGTTTTGTTACATAGGTATACACGGGCAATGGTGGTTTGCTGCATCCATCACCCTGTCATCTACATTAGGTATTTCTCCTAGTGCTATCCCTCCCTCCAACCCACTGCTATCCCTCCCATAGCCCCCCGCCCCCGCAATAGGCCCCAGTGTGTGATGTTCCTCTCCCTGTGTCCATGTGTTTCATTGTTCAACACCCACTAATGAGTGAGAACATGTGGTGGTTAGTTTCCTATTCTTATGTCAGTTTGCTGAGAATGATGGTTTCCAGCTTCATCCATGTCCCTGAAAAGGACATGAACTCATCCTTTTTATGGCTGCATAGTATTCCATGGTGTATATGTGCCATTCAAGTACTTTTTATAAGGGTACTTTATCCCGTATGAGAAGCCCTCATAGGTTAATCATTGCCTAAAGTCTTCACCTCTTAATATTATCACTTTGGAAGTACCTGAACTTTGGAGTAGACTAATTCAAATGACAGAAAGAGGCAATAATTAGGTGATAAATATTGGAAAAAGACGTTTGAGACAGAGGAACTACATACTTTTTTTAGAAAGAGTGTGTAGCATTATAAAAAGACCTCAGGCTGGAGGTCAAAGTAGGAACCTTCTTTGAAAGTTTGCTTACCTGGTTTCCTCATCTACAAAATTGAGTTAATAATAGTTTTCTATGCCCCTATTCAGTAAATCATAACCAATATTGTCAAAATTATATTGCATTTTAGATGCTATATCAGATTTTTTTCATATCATGCGATGTAATAATTTTGAGGTAAATGGCTTAGTGGTTTGAAGTATTTGCTGAAAACTTTATGCCATATGTTTTACTAATCAACACATTTATTTCCTAAATAACTAATTTCAAAGAGAGGCAAATATTTTGAAATAAATCTGACCTGGGTTTAAGTCCTGACTTCCTCTTTGCTTGTGCGACTTGGAGAAGTGACATGTTAAGATTCAGATGTGGGTGAAGGGGAGGAAGGCAGCAAAACACACTGCCATGTGTGTACCTATGCAACTATCTTGCATGTTCTGCACATGTACCTCAAAACCTAAAATGGAATTAAAATAATAATAATAAAATAAAATAAAAAAGATTCAGATACCTCATCCTAAACCTGAGGAATACTTTGGCCCACTGTCTCTTTTCAATTAACATTTATGAACTGGTATTATATTCATGTATAGTGAAAAAATATGCATCAATTTTGTCCCAATGTGCCTATGTAAGCTTGTCTCTGACTCTAATATTCAAAACACAAATAATGAGGACATTTTATCAAAAGACTTGAAAATATGTTTCCTGGAATGACTAATTCAAAATTACTATCAATAATACCACACTACATTCTAAGCACTTATTTGAAGAATTGAAGGATTTTTCTTTAGCGTATATGAGAGATGATTAGTGGTGTATACAATAACAACACAGCAGACACAAGACAAAATGAGAAGAGACACCACAGAAAAACAGGAAATTGCATGTCAAATGTATGGAATGTGTGTTATAAGCATTTAGAGACAGAATGATGTATGTGCAATGAACAAGTTCAGAAAGAACTCGTGTGAGAAGGTGAGCTTGGCATCTGCAGTTGAGTCAAAAAGTTTTGAATAAACAAAAGATGGGGACCATTAGCAAACTCCTGAGGATAATGTACAGGGCATGATATTAAGACAAGAGATCGTTTCAGCGAGGCCTCAGGGAAATTATAAGGCATGTGGTTGGGTGGATAGGAAATTGGAAGCAGATGGTGGTTGTCATAGGTTATTCTGCTTCAAAGTTTGGGCTGGGCATCTCTCGACAGGCTCGTGGGAGGAGAAGGAGAGATACTTCCTCTGAAAATAGGTGAGTTAACAGCTCTGATTTACCTGGTCCTAAAATGTTACAATGTTTATTATCAGTTCTGGAAGCCACAGCTAACTCCTTTCTGATTTGAAAACACTGCTGTGGCCGGGCGCGGTGGCTCACGCCTGTAATCCCAGCACTTTGGGAGGCTGAGGCGGGTGGATCACGAGCTCAAGAGATCGAGACCATCCTGGTCAACATGGTGAAACCCCGTCTCTACTAAAAATACAAAAAAATTAGCTGGGCATGGTGGCGCGTGTCTGTAATTCCAGCTACTCAGGAGGCTGAGGCAGGAGAATTGCCTGAACCCAGGAGGCGGAGGTTGTGGTGAGCCGAAATTGCGCCATTGCACTCCAGCCTGGGTAACAAGAGCGAAACTCCTTCTCAAAAAAAAAAGAAAAGAAAAGAAAAGAAAACACTGCTGCACAGGATTATGGAGTAATTTTCTAGATATCACCAGAAACTACTTTCCTTTTTGTTCAAATATAAAGCTGTTTGGCTGCAAAAATGCAGTCGAGTCCCTATTATTTATCCTGGAAAGAAAATGAAAATAATATACCAATCTGAAATTAGATTTAAAAAAAAAACTGTAGCATAACATGATTTTGAAATAAAATGTCTCAAGCATATGCTCAGAAATCATTGTCCATTTAATTTTATTGCTTGAGAAATGTGCCAATTTCAAGCATAAAATATATATTAAGATATTTCTTTATGTTTGTCAGCCTCACCAAAGGTAAGGATTCAGAGGTTTGTTTTTCATGATCTGGCCCCACATATAGTAAAAATAACACATGATAAAGTAGTGGCCTGTAGCTTCTTTTATTCAATGTGTTGGAGAGAAAAAAGATGACTGGTTAGGTCTCTCCCAAAGGAACAGTTCAGGAGTCAATTTACTAACCTGGCTGGATGGGAGAAAGAGACAAAGAGGCTCCAAGAAGCATGGGAACAAGAACCACGTTGTCTTGTCCATTACAGTTTATCCAATACTAGTTACAGTTCCTGGCCCATAGGAAAGCGATAATAAATGGAAGCAATGGTACTAGTGGAAGAGAGATCATGATCATCAACTGACCTCTAAAAGCATTGTGTCTCAATTAAATATGGAATTTGTTTCAGTTAGTGCATCACATGAGACTGAGCAGACTAAATCTCTTTCATGAAAAAAAAAAATGTATAAAGAGGAGGAACCATGCCAAGTAGGATGCATGAGAATTTTCCCCCGATACACTGTTATACATAAATTTATACCTGGGGAAACACAGGCTTAGAGAGAGCAAATGATTGCCTAATCTCATGAGATAAAATCTATTATGTGTTCAGAGGGGTGGCTCACACAAGAAGCCCTCAAAACTGTCCTCTTAAAAAAAGTCATTTTATACATCCTGGGGTTTGAGTTCAGGATACTTTCTGTCAAAGTCAATTGTTTCCCATTATCACTGTGACATCATTAATGGGAATTCCCTCTCTCACTAATAATCCAAATATGAATCATATATTTGGATACAAATGCTTCTGGATTCAAAAATGCAAAATTACGTATTTAACTGATAAAAGCACTTAACAATATTTTTATCTTCCAATGTTCTAATTAGCATATTTCATTGCTAGGAATATATGGGACATATACACACATGCGCACAGAGTTGTATTTTACAGGCACCATCTGAACTGTCTGAACAGATTGCCAGAATAGGGACCACTTGTCTCTAGATATGTGTACTACGTAGCGTTTGAGGTTTGGGCATATCAGTCACCTTATGCCTTCTGACACCAGGCGACCAAAAAATAAGGTATTAAGTCCTTTCCTTTTGAAACAACACTAAAGTAGGAGGTTGGTATTCTAAAAATGATATGCAGTGTTTTATTAAAGTGTCACCTTTTTGTTGAACGTGTCCATGCATAATTTTTCCATTTGCTTTAAATGTGGTGTCCTAATTGATAGCCTTTTTGAAGTTAAATAAGCGTCAAATAGAGACTCAACGAATCTGTTATCACCAGGCAATTACATTTGGTTAATAACCTGGCTGTATTCTCTGTTCATATTGGACAGCTCTGTAAAAGCCCTGGCATTAATGGATTTTATTCAAAGTGACAAAGGAAATAGTAAAATTACAATACAATTTCCTTTATCTTTTCTCATCTAAATAGGGAAGGCATCTGCATCATGGCATTAACTCACCCAGAAAGGAGAAAGTTGAAATACTATTATTTCTGCAAAATGACCTTTCTGCTGCAGTATTTGCTTGACTCAGAATCACAATTTGATTGCAAACTTGTTTAAAATATATGGAGCTGAAAATGAGCAGGAAACCTAGTTTTTGAACATTATTAAAACTTGTGCAGTCTTCCTATATTCCTTATTTAAATATCTCCTAATATTTAAAGCAAAATGTCAGTAATAGGCCTTTTCATAGTTTGCCAAATGTATATTAATTCTATTCTCCCAACTATAATAAATTGTAAAGGCAAAAACAAATTGATAAAACTGAGACCAAACAAAAAAATAAATTTATAGATAAATTTTTAGCACATAGAAACAGTTCATAGAAACTTCTTTTTAAAAAAATATTTGTTAAATATTAATTTCAACAGTCATTAATTTCAATTTAGAAATTAAAATGGACAGATTGATGGCATTAAGAAAATAAATACCTCACCCCAGCATCTCTTGTAATTTATACCTTTAAGACAATAGACATTCATACAGCAACATTACCCCCACGAAATACAAATTAACTAGTAATGAAATAATTAACAATTATTTTGTTATTATTTAAAGCTGTATTTTGATGTTCTGCTCAATATTTTGTAATTAATATGGGACTTTGCAGTTTGGATAAAAATGAGAGTCAGCTCAAAAAACATTTATTGGACACTCTGCAAGGAACATTGATATTATGAATAAATCACAATTCATTTCAATTTAACCCTTTTGAAACTTACATTCTAGTGGAAGAAGAAGGTGTGTAAACTTAAACTTTCAATAAAATGTGGTAAATGTATGCAGAGAATAGTGAGAACCTGAAATTTTGTGGTTTCGGTTACACACAGGATGTTTGTAAATAAAATCTTTGTTAGTTTCTAGAACAGCATTATTAGAGAGAAAAATAGAATTATAGTTTTGATTTTTTATTACAAAAAATAACATTTGGTTTGCTTACACATTTGGATGCGATATAATTTTCTATTTAACATAGTTGCACCAAAAGTACTTCCAATAGTGGTGATTGAATTTCAAGCAAATAATTTTGAAGTGAGTCAACCATTACATGTATCTGTTGATAATTTGATAAACATTATGCAAAAAGTCTTTTTACATAAGCTTGAAATGATCATTTTCTTACAAAGGAAGAAATACAAGTGTTTAAATTCAGATATTTATCAGAAATCATATCTTAAAATGAAATTTATATAGTTTGTATGCTTTTAAGCAATTCTGGAAGAAATCTAAAGTTATTAAAATCACTGCAACTTTAATAAAAATATGTTCAGAAATAAGATAGATATTACAAATTTAAGGAAATCAGCAAATACAAGGCAACATTAAAGTACTATAAATAACAAAAATATAGGATAAAATAGTAAATACATGATGAAACTGATATGAAATAACGTAAAGTAATAATAGTTCAAAACAATAACAACATTAAAGAAGAAAATACTCTCCAAAAACTTAATTGACAATGCAGCTGTTTCATACTTAAAATTCATATTGTAACTATAGTTGTTTTAGGGTATCAGAAAAATTAGGTCAATATATGAAAATATATACAATTAAAGTGAAAGTTTCTTACTGTTGAAACCTATTTAAAATTTTTACTGGCTTACTACATGAATTATATTATTCAGTGGTCTCGTCTGAATTCCTTGTCTAATATATTTTACATAAAACGGTGAATTTCCCATTTTTCCAATTTTTCCATGGCAGCCTATTATAGTAATTCCAATTTGCTTCGTGGCTTCACATTTTGCGTTAAAGATTGTGGAGACGGTGGAGTTGAGTGGTTACCAACCAGCTTGGAGGAAGACTGCCCTGCCACAGGTGAGCCTAATCTCCTGGGCAACTTAGTTGATTTTTCTGTGACTTAGTTACTCCGTAAGTAAGTAGGAATAGTAGCCATTCCTATGTTATTGTTATGCAGAATGACTGAGTTCATGAATGTAAAGAGTATAGAGGAATAACTGGCATAAAGAAACTTTTGTGTCAGCACTCACTGCTATAGTATCTGTACTATAGATATATATTTACACAGGCAGTGGTTTCCAGAGAGTTGTCCTCTGATCAGTTGCATCAGCATCTACATTATCACCTTGTAACTTATTAGAAATGCAAATTCTTAGGCCACACCCCAGAAAGATTGAATCAGAAACTCTGAAGGCACAGCCTAGCATTTGTGTTTTGACAATATATTGGGTAGCCTAATTTAAGTGCAAATTTGAGGACCAGTGTATGAAGAGAAAGATAATGATGATGTTGAAGATGAAGAAGTATCCTATATCTCTAGTCAACATTGATCAGATTCTTTAGCTTTCCTAGAAGGAGTGAGAAAGGAAGGCAACAGATAAGTAGAGGGGAGAGATAAGAATGAGGAATGACAAAGAAAATAAGTGGAAAAAAGAAGCTGACTTCACTACTTTCTTGCTTTTGGGTAGCAGGGGTGATGTGTCCTGAGAGTTCAAGGCTGGTCAGTGGTATGAGGCTATAGGGTAATGCTGTCTGTCACTTTGCAGATTTCCTGGGCAACAGACGAGCTATTGTGATCTACTTGTTGGACCAAAGACCAAAAGGCAATTCCACATCTTTTCCATTACCATTCTCTCTCTCCTTGCCCAGGACTGTACAAACTGTTTAGTTACAGAGAATACTCTTTTGTGGAGTCTTAATTAAACAAAATCATTTTCCATTTTAAGTAACATGATGTGAGAATCATCATACATAGTATGATTTATAATTAATATGGGACTCTTAATATAATATGGGATTTATAATTAATACTTGGACAAAACAAATAAACAAGTAAAATATAACATTAAGGAATTTTATTACTTATATTTAAATATCATCTCTCTTATATAAGCATGAAAAAATAAATTTAATTTTTTTAGAAGTCAGTGGGAGTT